AAGGAAGGGAGAGAGAAGGGAAGGAGAAAGAAAGAAAGAAAGGAAGAAAAGGTATGGATGGAGAAATGAGGAGGAGAAAGGGAAAGGAAGGCAGTGAAGAAGAGAGTGGAGAGAGAGGGCAGAAGAAAGGAATGGAGTAAGGAAGAAAGAAAGGGAGGGAGGATGATAGGGAGAAAGGGAGGAGGAGGATCTCGAAGTAGGGATTGGCTCTGTGATTCCCCAAAGAGCCGCAAGTTGGGCTGGATCCTCTCTAAGCTTCCTGGATGAGGCATTTGTGTGGGGAGGAAGAGGGTGGAATTGGGAAGGGGAGGAAGGGGGGTGTATTTGGGAGGGGGAGAGGGGGAGGAGGGAGGGTGTCAAGGGCCCTTAAGGAGGGAATTGAAGCTTCCTGTGCCCGACCCAGGGGAGGGAATGGGGGGGATGACGACCCTCTCCTCATTGTCTCAGCTCTGACGCTCTCGTTCCTCACTGCTCACTTCTCCTCATTGGGGAAGGGGGGGGGGGGGGCTTAGGGGGTCCAAGGTAGGGGGGGAGGGGAAAGAGGGGGCTTAGGGGGTCCGGGTAGGGGGTGGTAGGGATACTGGAGGCAGGAGGGAGGGGGAGATGTCCATTGTTGGAGGTGAGAGGTAATAGAGAGGAGAAGGTCGTCAGAAGGGCCTGGTAAATTCTACGGGAAACTGTCGCCACATTTCAGTTACTTTTTCCCATTTACAGATTATATTACCTATTAATTTCTTGATGACTTTTTTAATGTGTGTGTATCTTCGGCTACGTTTTTCTTTTTTTTTTGCTTCTTCTTTCTCTAAATCATCTAGATCCATTGTAATTTTCCTTTTCTTTTGTGTGTATAGCCTTTTATATATACTTATCTTATTTTTTCTCAACCTTACTGTCTACAATATCTCCTCCGTCAACCATTTTTATTATCACTGTCTCCTTCCTCTACCTCTTCTTCTCTTCCTTTCCCTCCCATCTATTTCATATTTCATCTCAAATTCTATTTCTATTTTGTTGTTATTTATATTCATTCTGATCATCTAGTTTCTTTATTTTCCATCTATTTCTTTCTTGATATGTACAAATAAATCAAAACCTTTAGTTCCAAGTATTCAAATGCTTACCTTTTCTTTTAATTCTTCTTCTCTTTATCTCTCTGTATTCTATTTATTTTTAATCCTAATGATACAAAGTGTCAAGGGTTGTTTTGGTTAAGTAGATTTATTATATATATTTGCCGTAATGTTGACAGATATTATTACCTGTTCTTGGAAAACGTCCTATAATTTTCATCTTGTGTTTTTTTTTTTTTCTTGCATGAAGATTATACATTTTAATGGTAGGTAGACACATATTTAGAGGAATAGATGGGTGTATACATGTGTGTCGTGTATATATATATACATATATATATACATATATATATATATATACTATATATTATATATTATATATATATATAATATATATGATATTATAATATATATAATATATATAATATATATATATATATATATATATATATATATATATATATATATAGATATATATATTATATATATATATATATGTATATATATACAATATATTACATATACACATATTATATATATATATATATATATATATATATATATATATATATATATATATATATATATATATATATATATATATATATATTATTATATATATATATATATATATATATATATATATATATATATATATATATATATATATATATATATATTATATATATATTATATATTATATATATATATATATAGATATATATATATATATATGGGTGTGTTGTGTGTGTGTTGTTTGTGTGTGTTGTTGTTGTTTGTGTTGTGTGTGTGTTGTGTGTTGTGTTTGTTGTGTGTGTTGTGTGTGTGTGTGTGTGTGTTGTTATGTGTATTATTTATTGTTTGTTAGTGATTGTATGTGTAGTATACATGCCATATACATATCATGTCGTATCTATCCAATCCATGCACTTATCAATGTCCCTATCACCCACCTAACAAGCAATCAACTGAAAGCAAAACCTCTACTCACGTCGACTGTGATTCCTTTGTCCTCGTACTTGGCCTTGCCGGTCGTCGGGCTGTACTGGTAGAACTGCTTCTGCCCGCGCCACCAGGTCACCGAGTACAGGTGGTCCTTCTCCAGGTGGAAAATGCACTTGAGGTGGATGGTGTCGCTGGGCAGCACCAGGGACGGCACTTCGATGTCGTCGATGCGGAGGCCGGAGGAGCCTGGAGGAGGAGGAGGAGGAGGGAGGCGCGGTGAGCGAACGGGTGCTGCGGGTGGCTGATTGGGAAGCATGTTGATGTTGGGAGTGTGTGTGAATATGGACACATACACAAAAAAAAAATAATGATCATAATGAAATATATATGTACATGTATATAAATACACACACACATACACACACACATATATATATGTGTGTGTGAAAATGAAAATAGCCACCATGAGTATTGAATATAATTCG